GCCTCCAGCAAAAAGGCTAAGGGATAGCAACCAGGCCCTGGGTTCAGGCCCCTGTACTGGCACCAAAAAAAGGATGTCCTGAGCTCAGGGGACAGTTACCATCTCACAGCTACACCTATCATTCCCCAAAATCATCACAGGCGGTATAATCATTATTTCTGTTGCAATTTACCAGAGTAGGTCTTGGTTTTGTGTACATGTGAAAAGTGTTTTCACCATTTTTCTCTTCTAACGTAAGTATATAGTATTATGGAGGAGGTTAGTACTTTTGTTTGTTATATTCTTATTTTGCAGAGTTAGGGATCAAACCCAGGACTTTGCACATGCTAGGCAAGTGGCCTACTGCTGAGCCACCCACTTAGTCCTTTTTATTTTTTTTTAATTTTTAACTATTGAGAGTCACATGGCTCCAAAATCAAAAGTATATTTTGAGGTTAAGGATACAGCTTAGCAGCACAGTGCCTGCCCAGAACAAGATGCTGGCTTCAGACCCCAGCACTATAAAAAATAAAACTGGGGCTGGGAAGGTGGCTCAGTGGTAGAGCGCTTGCCTTGCATGCCTGAGGCCCTGGGTTCGATTCCTCAGCACCACATAAGCAAAAAGAAAAAAACCGGAAGTAGTGCTGTGGCTCAAGTGGTAGAGTGCTAGCTTTGAGCTGAAGAACTGAGGGACAGAGCTCAGGCCCAGAGTTCAGGCCCCACGACCGGACCCCCCCCCCCCAAAAAAAAAATGAAAAGAAAAAAAAGAAAACTGTATTTTGAAAAGTCTCCCCTCCTATGTTAGTACACTATAGTCCCTTAAGGCCATGAGAATCCATGTTCTTTTCGTTATCAAACACAAATTTATATTCTTATTCTTCCCTCTCATTCTCTCCCATAAAAGGTAATACAGTGCAGTCCTGTTGGTAACTTGTTTTTGCACTTAAGAAATCCTGGAAACCTTTCCATCTAATGATCTTTCCATACAATACAATTTTTCCAAATCACCTTTCCATATACAACTTCCTCATTTTTTAAACTGCTATGAATATAGCTACTTAATTGAGACAGTGAATTATTGTTTTTCCTACCATTATCACTATTTTTATCATCTGGTACTAGACTAAATAAAGTATTAATTTTTTCTTATGTTATTTGGAAAATGATTATTTGCTTTTTGGTATTAATATAGTTTTGTTTCTTGATTTGAATAATTATATAAGGCAATTGTATTGATTATTTTCTTCACCAAACCCTAGAGGCAGGGAAACCATTCACAAGGAATACAGGGCCGCTGAGATGATAAGTCTCATATAGTCTACAAAGACCACACTTTTTATTGTCTGTTTATTTTCCAGTAGTGGAGCTTGAACTCAGAGCCTCACAATTTCCTTTGGCTTTTTTTGCTAAAGGCAAAATATGCATGTTACAAAAAAAAACAATTGGAGAAGATAAAACAAAAAAACTAAATCTTTAATTCTGGTTAGTCAAAATCATAAGTATTTTTAAAAATACAGAATGTACAAGGAACTCAAGAAACTAAATCCCTATTCAGGAGGCTGAGATCTGAGAATTGGGTTCAAGCCAGCCTGGGAAAGAAAGTTCATGAGACTATTATCTCCAATAAACTATCCCACCCCCAAAAAAGCCAGAAGTGGAGCTGTGGTACAAGTGGTAGAGCTCTAGCCTTTTGCAAAAAGAAGTTCAGAGCCAGCACCCAGGCCTTGATTTAAAGCCCCAGGACCAGCACACAACAAAAAGAAGGAAAAGAAACTAAATCCCCCCAAGTAAGTAACAATAAATAGGCAAGGAGAGAAATACAAATTTCTCAGAAGAATTAAGAATAGCCAAAAAAAAAAAAATGAGGAAATGTTCAACATATTGAGATTCAAACCTAGTGTGACTCCAGAGCACAGCTGGTAACAACCTAAACAGATAAAGAAAATGTTGTGGCTACTCAGAGGCTGAGATACAAGGTTGAGATTCAAAGCTAGCTGTGGCAGGAAAGTCTATGAGACTCATATATCCAATTAACCATTATAAATGAAATATAAATCAAAACACCACCAAGATTCTATCTAACCCCAGTAAGACTGGCCAGCACCCAGAATTTAAACACTAACAATGCCAGTCATGACTTGGGGGAAAAGGAACTGTATTCCACTGTTAGTGGGAAAGTAAAATAGTGTAACTACTCTGGATGGAGGTTTGAAGATTCCTCAAAACTATACATAGAACTACCCTATGATCCAGCCATACCAATGTTGGGCATCTACCTAGATCATAACACGTCAGGATAAGGTAAAGCCACTTGCACATCCATAGATATTGCTACAACATTCACAACAGCCAAGTTATACAAACAGCCCAGATGCCCTACAAAGGATGAGTGGATTAAGAAAATGTGGTATAAATACATAATGGAATTTTATTCATCTATCAGAATATTACATCATTTGCAGAGGAATGGAAGGACCTAGAACAAAGTAAGTCAGGCTCAAGTGACAAATGGTATATGGTTTTCCCTCATATATGAAATTCAGATCTACAATACAAATATAGCTGGGCACTGGTGGCTCACTATAAGCCAAGCTATTCAAGAAGCTTAGATGTGTGGATTGCAGTTCAAAGCCAGCCTAGGGAGGAAAGTCCATGAAACTCATCTCCAGTTAACCACCAGAAAATGCAAAGTGGGGCTGTGGCTCAGTGGTAGAGCACTAGCCTTGGACAAGAGCTCAGGGACAACACCCAGGCTCCAAATTCAAGCCCTATGAATAACAAAAATAAATAAAATACAAACATAATATGATAACATATACAGGGGCATATGCATAACACACAAATTGACTATTATATAAGAGAGGAGTCCAATAGTGTAACTCCTTTGAACAATTCACGTGTATAATTCTAGTTACTGAGGAGACTGAGAGCTAAGGATCAAGGTTCAAAGCCAGCCATGGCAGAAAAAGTCTATGAGAATTTTATTTATTTATTTATTCTTTGGGTCTGGTCGAGGGGCCTGAACTCTGGGCCTGGGTGCTGTCCCTCAGCTCTTCAGCTCAAGGCTAGTGCTTTACCACTTGAGCCACAGCACCACTTCCAGCTTTTTTCTTTTTGCTTATGTGATGCTGAGGAATCGAACCCAGGGCCTCATGCATGCAAGGCAAGCGCTCTACCACTGAGCCACCTTCCCAGCCCGTCTATGAGAATTTTATCTCCAATAAACCACCATAAAGCCTAAAGTGGAGCTATGACTCAAACTCATAGAGGGCTAACCTTCAGCAAAAAAACTCAAGGACAACACCCAGGCTCTGAATTCAAGCCTCAGGACCAGCACAAAAAAATGAATACCAGGAAACTGAAATATGTTCGGGGTAGGGGAACAATACAAGGTGGCACATGAATGGAGGGAGGAAGAATGAGCAAATACAGTCATTTTATTCAATATATTATGTAATACTGAATTATGTAACAAGGGTAAGGATGGGATGGGCTAAAATGGGGGAGAACAATGGAAGGGGTGACACTGATCAAGATGCATTGCACTCATAACCTGACTTCTTGAATTGAAACCCCTTTGTATAACTACTTAATAAAAGTTAATAAATACTTTTAATACTACTATGTAGATACTATAATTGTCTTTTTTTGTTTTTTGTTTTTGTCAGTCGTGGGGCTTGAACTCTGGGCCTGGGCGCTGTCCCTCAGCTCATCAGCTCAAGGTTAGTACTCTACCACTTGAGCCATAGCACCACTTCTTCTTCTCTGAGTGGTTTATTGGAGATAAGAGTGTCTCCGACTTTGCTGCCCGGGCTGGCTTTGAACAGTTGCTAGGATTACAGGCATGAGCCACCAGTGCCTGGCCTTTGTCTTTGTTTATAGGCAAGGAAAATGTAGTTGTGTGTCCACAGACACACAGCTATAAGTGGGAGAGATGAAATTCAAACCTAGTGCAGCTTAGAGTTTAACTAGTACAAGGTATGGTACCAACAATAAAGGAAAACGGTATAACTGGCTACTTAGGAGGCTGAGATCTAAGGATCAAGGTTCAAGGCCAACCCATGCAGGAAATTTCATAAGATTCTTGTCTTCAATAAACCACCAAAAAGCTGAAAGTGTAGGGATGGCCCAAGTGGGAGAATATGAGCCCTAAGCAAAGAAAGCCAAAGAAGCTGGGTGCCAGTGTCTAACATCTGTAATCCTAGTTACTTAAGAGACTAACACCTAAGGATCAGGGTTTGAAGCCAGCCCAGGATTGGTGCCAGCTCACACAGGAAAGTCTGTGAGACTTATCTCTTATCTCTAGTTAATCAGCAAAAAAGTCAGAAGTGGAGCTGTGCTTCAAGTGGTAAAGTACTAGGGACAGTGCCCAGGACCTGAGTTCAAGAAAGAAAAAAGAAAAAAAAAGTTATGCTACCTTAGTACCTAGTATTTACTGCTATTTACCTCAAATCAAATCATTTGGTCTTGCTGAGCCTCAAATTCTCCTCTGTAAAATGGAAGTATCAATAAGGAAAACATTAACTTTCAAGGAAGTTATGAGGACAGCAACGTAAAAGACCAGACTGAGCTCTAGAATAAATTGAGCAATTTTTCATGGGGCTTGAACTCTGGGCCTGTTCCTCAGCATATCAGTTCAATGCTAGCACTCTACCCCTTGAGCCACAGTGCCACTCCTGATTTTCTGGTTGTTTATTGGAGATAAGAGTCTCATGGACTTTCCTGCCCAGGCTGCCTTTGATCCTCAGATCTCTGCCTCCTTAGTAGTGAGGATTACAGGCATGAGCCTGACATATTGAGCAATTTTTAAACATTATTGTGAGCCAAGTAGGATGGATGGTACATGCCTATAATCCCAGAACTTGGGAGGCTGTAACAGAAGAATCACAATACAAGGGCAGCCTAGGCGAATAGTGGGACTCTATCTCAAAAAGTTAAAAAAAAAAAGTTCTTGTGAAATACTATACTATAAATATTCATTAAAAGTAGAGGATCAGGAAGGGGTGGAAAAAGCAACTCACTGTGTCTGAGCTTCACCATGATGATCAGATCAGCTTGAAAACAGGTATACTCAAATATGCTACTTTCTTCCTGTGGGAATAGAAGCAAGAAATTTGAAGACAAACTCAGGAACCCCAAGGCCTTTTAAACTCCCTAAAAGCCAGGCACCAGACGCTCACACTTCCAATCCTAGCTACTTAGGAGGCTGAGATCTGAGGATCACAGTTAGAAGTCAACCCAGACAGTAAAGAGTCCATGAGAGTCTTATCTCTAACCATCAAAAAAAAGTTAGAAGTGGAGCTGTAGCTTGAATGGTAGAACACTAGCCTTGAGCCAAAAAACCCCAAAGACAGTGCCCAGGCTCTAATTTCAAGCCCAGGACCAACACAAATCAATCAACAAATAAATAAACCTCCTAAAGGCAAAATAAAATGTCAAAGAACATGATGAGGAAGCCCTAAAAATTAGCTAAAGTGGAGAAGGGTACACAGGAGCTAGGGCCTGATAGAGTTGATATATAGAAGAAAGGCAATGTCATGTCACCCAAAGAGAAGGTGCCTCTGAAGTATTCCTGGGTAGTATGTGGTTCAATGCACTGAATGGGGTGCTTGATCCTTATTCCTCTACCATACAATGTTATACCTTAAATAAGTAATTGGGAGCTGGGAGCTGGTTACTTACAACTGTAATCCTAGCTACTCAGGAGACTCAGATTGTGGTTCAAAGCTAGCCCAAGCAGGAAAATCTGTGAGACTCTTACCTCCATTTAATCACCAAAAGTGGAGTTGTAGCTCAAAGCTTTAGAGCACTACCCATGAGCACAAAAGCACAGGGACAGCACCAGGACTTGAGTACAAGCTCCAGGACCAACAAAAAATAATAAGGAATCAGTAGTAAATCCCTCCCCACTGAGAGGAGACTCTTCATAGGGTGGCGTGATAATAGTGTCTCTTTTCCCAAGAAAGGAGTTGTGTATTGTATCCACCCTGGGAAGAGGTACTAATATCCCATAAATCTAACTGAAGAGGCCTTAGAACAAGGTCTTTTACCTGCATGGCTATGTGGATTGAGGTCAATACAAAATCTTTTGAGATTGGCAACTGGGTGGGATTTGACATCTGTCCCTCTCTGTTCTGAGATACGGAGAACTGAGAAAAAGAGCACAGTAACTGTACCTCTCTGATGTGTGGGAGAGAAGCACAGGTCCACACATCTCAATTGTTGGGAGGGAAAGGAGAAGAGAAGGGATCCTATGTTTCTACGCCACAGAGAGCTGTAGGATGGTACTGTTCTGCCTGTTCAAGTGATGAGGTGACATTTGTGTCATACTAGTAGAGAAACTGCACAGCTTTAAATGAGTAGAATCTATACCTTGCTTGAGGAAAGAAGGAGACTGTTCTGAATCTTTCTGTGCATGGTGGACTGGGATGATATGTGTATCTTTTTTCTTTGTTCTTTTCTGAGTCAGTGTCTCACTAAATAGCCTGGAAGTTGTTATGTAGCCCAAGTTGGCCTCGAACTTGAGATTCTTCTGCCTCAGCCTCACAAATGCTGGGATTCATGCTGTGCACTACCACACCTGGCAAAATCTTTTATGTGGGTGAAGTGAGTAGCACACTAACATTCATTACAAGGAATAGTGCCTCTGGTTCTTTACAGGGGTATGGCATGAGGACAAAGGCAATGCAGTTATAAATTTAAATGATCAGCTCCTACATGGCAGGAGAGGAGTCTGTCATTTTATCCTGGGTTAGGAGAAACAAATCTGAGTGTCTGTACCTTGGATAAGGAAGGAACACTTTACAATATTGTAATCAGTGATTCTACTGCTTCTCATTTACAGAGTTGAGTCTCTGCCACAGTGAGGGCTCTCCCATGGCTAATAGGGTGTTAAGTCTTCGGAGGGTATAATCTGTCTGCTTCTAAAGAATAAATCTTAGTCACTCTACCCGGAGGTCTTCTTGAGGGGCAAATCTGACTGTCTCTTCAGAGACTAAGATCTGTTGTTATTTGTTCTGTGGGCCTTTTCAAATCCAGTAAAATAGCCCTTCCTAAAGGGGTCAGAGTTGGATCTAATTTTCCACAATAGGGACTTCACTCTAGCCAAGGAGGCGGCAAATCTGAGTGGTTCTCAGTAAGCTGAAGTCTTTGGTTTTAATTAATTGGGGGAGAACTGATTTGAAGGTTTCCTTCAATTAAATATTAGGCAGGAGTGGGGAAGACTTGGAGAGAGCTCTAGCCCTCCCTCTACATCAGAGGAGCTTTACTTCCTTTAGGTATGTTTCTGAGCTCCTACATATTTTTGGAGGGAGGGGGGCGTTAATAACAAAACCCATCCTTAGGAAGGAGCTACCTCGATGTGGATCAATGTGTCTTAAACCAGGACAGGTTTACGCAGCTAAGTAGTGTGGAACGATGTTGCCACATCTTCAACGAATAGACTGATACCTGTCACACCGGAAGGAGTAACGCGAAATGGATCCTCTCCGTTCTGCGAGGTGGAAGGCAATCAACCCTTTCTTTTCTATACAAGTGTGGTCTGTGTCTCTCTACAGTATGTCCGGGACATAGAACTTTCTAGGTAGGCTATGAGTCCACGCGCCCCCACCCCGCGCGAATGTAGTTCGGCGCATCTCCGCGTGTGGTGCCATTTCTACCTCTCTTCTGGGCCCTGGTACCCGGGAAGGGAACCAGCTGTCTACCTCTGTATTTCAGGCTGGAGGGGGCATCTCTGGACCGTTTCAAAACGACGATTCTTATTGTGCTGCTAGCTGAGTGAGCGCTCATTAGGACAAAAGAGCCGAGTGGTCTCTTACCTACACTTCCGGCGTGGATCTGAGAGGACAGGATAGCTCACCGACGCTGACTGAAGAGGAGGAGGTGCGCTCACGCCGCTAGACTCCGACTTCCGGATCCCAGTCTTGCGGCGTAAGGCTCCGCCCACTGTGCGTCCTGCGCAGGGGCGGGAATTCGGATTGACAGCTCTCGCCTGCCGATCCCTTCCTAGCTCCCACGCCCGCCCCGCCTTCTGGCTGCGGGAAGAGTTAAAGAAAAACCGGAGGTGGGAAGAAGGAAGGTGGGGAAATGGTGAGGGGAAGGCGTATATGTACTTGTGTGGCCAAATAACCTACTCGTAGGATGCAATTTTCTCTGTAGGCCTGTGTCTGGCACTAAGTATGCTTGCTCCCAAATCTTAATGGCCAAGCGATCACTGTGTCTGCAGCAGACGAAGATGGGGTTTGGTGTCTTTATCTGCCTGGAAGATGGCGACGTGACAGGGTGTGAGAAAATGGCTGCCTGGGTCACATGTCTGGCCGAGTTTTTCCCACCTGAATGGTTAGGGGCTCCCAATGACCTTCCCGACTCGTCGGTTCACCCAGGCTTGAGAGCTGTCCTCTAAACACTAGGTTCCAGTAGCTCAGATCCTTGGCCAAGCCCATCTAGAGCAGAAAGCTGCATAACAGGCAGCCACCCCCACCCGTTTTTCCTGCCTCCACCTCCTCCTCCCCAAATTCCAGGAGTCGGGTCTACAAAAGGGAATACATGTATATCTCTGAAATGGAAGCAAGTAGGGTTTCTTTAGACACCATCTCAAGGAGTCCCTGATGTGTCTGGAGAGTGAGACGTATCTCTAAAAACTAAACATTAGTCTGAAAAATAATGTTCTCAATCATTAATTCCAACACCTTTTCTGCCGGCAAAAACCTTAGGGTGGGGCACAAAGTAGGTGGGGCTAAAACCTGGGGGTTTGGTCTCCCAGCACTGTGCATTCCCTCTCCCCTGCTGCCTTTCGTTCACACTGGACTCTCTACCCCCTATATCCGTAGGGCACTTTGAATGTTTCACCCTAGTGAGACCTACGAAATTCCTCTGAACCCCAGACTAACCCAGGCCACCTTCACCTTTCCCCCTGCATTTGCAAATTCTTTGTATCTCAATAAGACCTTCTTCCCCGACTCCATCCCATAAGAAAGCCAGATCATCTTTTCTCCTACAGATGACTAGAACTTAACCACTCTTAACTGTGTTTATTTATGTTGCTGTATTTCCACAGGTGAGGACTCCTGAGAGCAGGGGCAGCACGTCCTTGAACTCAAAACCACACACAGCATAAGACTCATACGAGGCTGGCCTCAAGCAAATTTGTTAAAAATGGGTGAGTTTCAGGCCTGTACCACAAATCAATAGGAAATGAAGAAATCCCAAGAAGTGGTAAAAGAGGAAAGTAAGACTGGATCAGTATTTATTCTACATGAGAAGAGGGACTGTGAATGTGAAAGGTAAAATTCAAAAGCTAATATAAAATGTGGTGTAAAAATACCTTTGAGGTGTGGGAAGGTGGCTCAGTGGTAGAGTGCTTGCCTTGCATGCATAAGGCCCTGAGTTTGATTCCTCAGCACCACATAAGCAGAAAAAGCCAGAATTGGTGCTGTGGCTCAAGTGGTAGAACGCTAGCCTCGAGCTGAAGAGCTGAGGGACAGTGCCCAGGCCCAGAGTTCAGGCCCACGACCGACCAAAAAAAAAATAGCACCCTTCCTCTTTGAGCCACAGCTACATTTATGACTTTTTGGAGGTTAATTGGTGATAAGACTTTCAAGGATTTTTTTCTATTGGCCAGCTTTGAACCCTGATCCCCAGATCTCAGCCAGAGTAGTGAGGATTACAGGCATGCACCACCAGCACCAGGCTAGAGTCAGTGTTCTCTTCCTTACCTTTTTTCCATTCAAGACTGAGGGTCTACCACTTAAGCCACATCTCCACTCCAGTTTTTTGTAGGTTAATTGAGAACTATTTTAATAGAGAAAAAGTTGAAAAATCTGAATGTCTACCAATGGAGAGTGAATAAAAATGATAGCCATGAAATGGAATACAACATTGAAGAAGAGTGAATTAGTTTACATGCATGAACCCAAATAAATTTCACAAACACGGTGATAAAATACAAGTCCACCTAGGTGCTGGTGGCTCATGCCTATAATCCTAGTATTGGAGTATTTTAGACTTTGCCAGAAAACCACGCAGACATCCAGGTACAAAGAAAGGTTTATTGCCAGGAAAGGGGCCTGCAAGACCCCTTCTTACAAGGGAGAAGTGAGAAGAAGTGCCCTCTATTGTCTGAGGTGATCTATATAACCTACTGAGGCTAGGAGAGCCTAGAAGAGGCTAGAAGGTGGAGACCTTGATGTGGACATGAGGGCCAGGGACTTCATCATGATGGATTAGGATTTATGGCTACTGCCCAAGTAGTAGATAAGGGTCCCTGCAGCTGCCCAGACCTGAAGGTCACCCTAAGGGGCTCTTGTTGCCTTATATAGTGGTAGTTGCCCCAGAGAAGTGCCATCCCAAGGTAAAGGGGGTTGGAGGCTGATTATTTACTGCCTTTACTAAATGGGCCCAGTGTTGCCTAAGAAAGGAGATGTTAAACTTTGGACAGTGGAAGGAGCATAGTAAGCTATGGGAAGGGAACTCATTGGGCTAACATCTAGCTTCTCAGGAGGCTGAAATCTGAGGATCTGTGTTCAAAGCCCAGGCAGAAAAGTCCATGAGACTCTTATCTCCAATTAACCACCAGAAAACCAGAAATGATGCTGTGGCTCAAGTGTTAGAGCACTAGCCATGAGCAAAAGAAGCTTGGAGACAGCATCCAGCCCCTGAATTCTAACTCCAGGACCAACAAAAGAGAGATATCAAATAGAGGGAAAATAAAGGAAGATAAAAGGAATTTAAGTATTTGTATAATATTTTATTTTCTTAGCAGGATACATGGATGGTCCATGAGTGTTGGTTGTATTCTTTTCTATATTTATGAGCCTTAAATATTTCATAATTTTTTTAAAAATCAAGGATTTACAAAAATGTTAGTAATAGTTAAATCCAGATTATTGGTTTTCTAGCTTTGGCAAAGATCAAAATGACTAGGAGAGCTTATTAAAATAGCAAATACTGGGCTCCTTGCCCAGAGTTTTGATTTGGTAACTCTGGTCAAGGACCCAGGAATTTTTATTTCCAGCAAGTTCTCAGGTGACAATGACAATAATGATAATGATGAAGCTGTTACTAATACCATTCCAGATACCACATTTTGAGAACTATTGATGGAAAAAATAAGACTGAATAAATTTCATTTTCTGTTTTTCTTATATTTTATGAATATAAATTAAGTGGCTTTTGTTGCTTCTTTTTTTTTTTTTTTTTTGCTTCTGCATCCTGCTTGTTTGTTTGTGTGTGAGTGTGTGAGAGTGTGTGTGTGCTAGTCCTAGGGCTTGAACTCAGGGCTTCACATATGTATATTGAATATTACGATTGTATTCCCCCACTATTCCTCTCTTCACATATCTCACCTGATTCTCTTTGTTAACTTCATAGTTTTAAATTTCAAATTTAGATTTTTATCCATGTAGAATCCACTCTTATAAGTGGTAATATGTAAGGATGCCCTTTTTATTGTCTTTTCTTTTTTGATACTGGGGATTGAGCCCAGAATGTTGCACTAGCTAGGCAAACACATTGCCATTAAGCTCCATCCCAGCCCAAGGACAAACCCTGAAGGTTTGTCCGCACAGCTAGTGCTCTAATAATTTGAGCCACAGCTCTATTTCTGGTTTTCTGGTTGTTAATTGGAGATACTGTTCAAAAAGAAGTGTACTCATTACCTGACTTATGTAACTATAACCTCTCTGTACATCACCTTTACAATATAAATAAATAAATAAGTAGTCTCACAGATTTTCCTGCTAGGGCTGGGTTTAAAACTCAATCCTCAGGGGCTGGGAAGGTGGCTCAGTGGTAGAGCGCTTGCCTTGCATGCTCAAGGCCCTGGGTTCGATTCCTCAGCACCACATAAGCAAAAAGAAAAAAAGCCGGAAGTGGCGCTGTTGCTCAAGTGGTAGAGCGCTAGCCTTGAGCTGAAAAGCTGAGGGACAGTGCCCAGGCCCAGAGTTCAGGCCCCACGACCGGACCCAAAAAAAAAAAAAACTCAATCCTCAGATCTCAACCTCCTGAGAAGCTAGGATTACAGGTGTAAAACACTGGCACCCAGTACAAATTTTTCATATTTTAATTTGTCAAAACCCAAAACATTAGTACTTACTTCTAGATTATTTTCCATCTAGAAGAGGAGCCCCCTCTGTATTCTAACACTTGGTATTTTCCAGCTTTCTAATTTTTGCCAGTCTAACCGGTATAAAGTAATATTTTGTATCACATTTAATTTTATGGTCACTAATGAACTTTTAGCATCCATTCATAAGTGAATTAAACATCGCTTCTATAAATTTCTTGTGTAGTTGCCTCCCATCTGAGATTTTTATTTTTCCTGGAGTTCTTTATGGAGTCTAGCCCTCAGATGTTGCAAATATTCTTCTGTTTTAACCTTGCTAATCATGAACTTCTTTGAACAGAAATTCTTTTGTGTGTGTGTGCTGGCACTGAGGCTTGAACTCAGAGCCCAATTGCTACTCCTTAGCTTTTTCGTTAAAGTCTAGTGCTTTGCTACTTAAGCCACAGCTCATCTTGTCTTTCACTGGTTAACTGGAGATCAGAGTCTAATAGATCTTTCTTCCCAGGCTGACTTGGGAGTTTGGTCCTCAGATCTCAGTCTCTGAATAGCTAGAATTACAGGCATAAACCTCCAGTGCCCAGCTGAAAAGAACTTAATTTTGCTGAACTCACATTCATCAGTTTTTGTTGTGGTTTTGGTATGGGGTTATATTTTTAAAGTACTTCCCTCTTCCTAGATCATAAAGATCTCTCTCTCTCTTCTTCCCTCCCCCTCCCTCTCCCTCCCTTCCTCCCTTCCTCCCTCATTTTAATATAGATTTTTTTTCTTCATGCTACTACTGGCGCTTGAACTCACAACCTGGGTGCTCATTATACCTTTTCCTAATCAAGGCTGGTACTCTACTACTTGAGCCACAGTGC